GAAAATTAGGGCATCCAAAAGCCCAGGGAGAAGTGCAAAGTAGGAGCAGTAATACAGAGGGAGAAATAGCTGAGTTTCTCTCCTGTTGTTTTTAAGATCTAGTTTATGTTCTCTGAGGGATTCAGGATGTTACTTTGTCAAAATCTATCTTCTGAGTGTAAGGGAATTTTCCTTAGTGAGATGTCTGCAACACAAGTTTAATGTTTCTGCACATAACTTGAATAAGCAGGCAGCTAATGGACTTTAGAGGCTGGCCTGAGTAGAGAGCACTTACTCTCATGAGCTAAGGCAGCAGAGTCTGGCCCCCAGTGCCATGCCACTGGCCAAGCTGCAAAGGAATACTTACAACAAAGGAAATATATTTGAACTGACTTATTGTTGCTTTTAAATTATAAAATAGAAAGCATATCTTGCAGCAGGTCAGAAAAAGTGGTGGTGTGGGTGTGTTTGCAGTACACTCTGAGCATCAAAGCTTTAAGGGGCGTTTCTGACACTCAGAATACTTCCTCTGTTTGTTTTTCCAGCTGGAAAGAGGTGATAAGCCTTTTAGTGGAGACCTGTTTCTGGGCTGATACCCATTCCTTTTGGCTGTTTGCTTTCACTTGATGAATGGTCTGACACAGAGAGGATAGTAGGATGCTGCTTCTGCCTGTGATCTAGAAGCCAAACAGGAAAGCCTTTCCAAGGCTAGTGGATTTAAGTATGGTATGGATAGTTTGATATGTCAAAGCTCTAACAGCTCCTATTTTACAGACTTCACTATGAAAAATCATAAAATGCAGCATAGAAAAAGTAAAATTATTATGGTCCATCCTTCTTGGGAAGCTGGAAATTGGAGTCCAAACCCTTTAGTCTCTATTGTGGCTAAAAGGGGTGTGTACAAGAGATGCTCAGAATGGAGTTGGGACAAGCAATTTCAGTTCACAAAAAAAAAACGCATAGCAAGTAGAACATGGCTAAGTGGTGATGCGTATGTGACAAAAGGGGAGTGAAAGGGGTAGTGCAGAATATAGCTGCACTAGGGGTATTAGGGGCATTTCGTCATTTTGGTGCTCTTCTGCCTTGTGCTAATGGAACTCCAAGATTTCTGGGAAAACTTCAAACAAGATACAGGTGGGATTCAGGGATTTACTACTAGCTACATTTTGGAAATGCAGAGTTGTCTTTATCTGGTCCTTCCATGTCATCTAAAAAGCGTGGAGTGAATTACAACAAATGGACTTACTCTTTGAAAACTGTAAAACCATCCAAGTAACTGTCAGACTATAAGTAATGAGGCTTGCGACTACTAAGCCCTGTAGTTATTAAACTAAGTAAGTATAGTACAATGAGCAGAACCACTATCATGGAAAAATAAAATTTCTCAGCAAGTGGCAATATTTTAGATTAACTTAGGACAGAGGGAAAAAAACAGCCTGTGCTATTCTCTAAAGGAAATTTAGTAGAGAGAACTTAATGTTCTTTCTTGTCAGAGGCTGGAAATAAAAGTTAACTACAACAGACCATGATTTATGTAAATGAAACCCTTGCTGCATTGTGCACAGAGCTATTAAAGAGCAAAAATACCAAGATAGGAACAAGTAAAAACTCTCTATAAACTCTTCTTTTCTCTTCCATGTTCTGAATGTCAAATTATGGCCACAGAAATTATTCATATCCAGTTTTCTTGGTTTGTTTTGCTGTGTTTTAATAATGTGACTGTGGTGGGTTGACCTTGGCTGGACATCAGGTGCCCACCAAAGCCACTCACCTGGGCAGGGGAGAGTAAATATTAAAAAAGGCTCATGGGTGGAAATAAGGACAGGAAGATCACACACCAATTACCATCATGGGCAAAACAGACTCAATTTGGGAAAAATAACTTCATTTATTACCAATCAAATCAGAGTAGAGTAATGAGAAACAAAACAAATCTTAGAACACCTTCCCCCGACCCCTCCCTCCTTCCCAGCCTTAACTTTACTCCCAATTTCTCCACCACCTTCCCCCCATCAGCACAGAGGGACAAGGAACGGGGGCTGCAGTCAGTTCATCAGATGTTATCTCTGCTGCTCCTTCCTCCTCAGGGGGAGGACTCCTCACACTCTTCCCCTGCTCCAGCATGGGTCCCTCCCACAGGAGACAGTCCTCCACAAACTTCTCCAGCGTGAGCCCTTTCCACAGGCTCCAGCTCTTCATGAACTGTTCCAGTGTGGGTCTCCCACAGGGTCACAAGTCCTGCCAGCAAACCTGCTCCAGCACGGGCTTCCCAGGGGGTCACAGCCTCCTTTGGGCATCCACCTGCTATGGCATGGGGTCCTCCCTGGGCTGCAGCTGGGTATCTGCTCCACCTGGAACCTCCCTGGGCTGCAGCTGGGTATCTGCTCCACCTTGAACCTCCCTGGGCTGCAGCTGAGTATCTGCTCCACCTTGAACCTCCATGGGCTGCAGCTGGGTATTTGCTCCACCATGGACCTCCCTGGGCTGCAGCTGGGTATCTGCTCCACCGTGGACCTCCATGGGCTGCAGCTGGGTATTTGCTCCACCATGGACCTCCATGGGCTGCAGGGCACAGCTGGCCTCACCATGATCTGTACCACAGGCTGCAGGGGCATTTCTGCTCCAGTGACTGGAACGCCTCCTCCCCCTCCTTCCTCACTGACCTTGGTGGTGAGGAATGGTTTCTCTCACACATTGTCACTCCTCTCTCCAGCTGCAGTTGCTCTCCCGCAGGCTTTTTTGAGCTTTCTTAAATATGTTATCTCAGAGATGCTACCGCCATTGCTGAGGGGCTCAGATTTGGCCAGCACTGGGTCCATCTTGGAGCCAGCTGGCATTGGCTCTGTCAGACACAGGGGCAGCTTCTAACAGAAGCCATCCCTGTATCCCCCCTGCTACCAAAACCTGGCCACGCAAACCCAATACGGTCACTCAGAATACCCACAACTTCTATGATGGAGAAGGGCACAGGAAATTCCCTTGACCATGTGTCAAGATCTTCAGCTGCCCTTATCCCAAAAAAAAGTGGATCAGTCTATTTTGTCCCAACAACCCAACATCAGTATTGCAGAGATGCTGACAGAGAGGTGGTGTTGGAGCTGACTATATGAACTGTGTCAGGGGACTCTCCACCATGAAAATACGACTGTTGGCAAGTACAGCATGTCAGTTGCCCAGAAGTTAATCTTAGATTACATGGATGGATTACTTTTTGAGTAGATGTAAACTGTGTCAAAGCTAATGCTACTGTATTCTGGTTGTGAGACATTCGAAACTGAAAACTGGTGGTTTACTATCAGTTTTATCATTCACATGAATACTTTGAGTGAATTAGGAAGTTCATGCCCATATGGTGATAGTTAAAGATGTAATAATATGTAAGTATTATATAATAGGCACTGAGTGAATCATTCCTGTGAAATGAAGAAACTCTATCCCTCTTTACAGATGGGAGATGAGGCCTGAGAGTCCAAGAATTTGCCCCAGGACATACAGAAAGTGAGAGAGAGAATAGTTATTTAAAACAGGGTTCTCAAGATTACAGCACCAGTCCCTTTATTGTCTTTTAAAGTGATGCCCTGTGTTAAGTAAATTTTTAGTATCTGTTAAATTATTTTTGCAATAGAATTTGTGTCCTGGTTTGGGCTGGAATAGAGTTAATGTTTCTTCTTAGTAGCTAGAATAGTGCTGTGTTTTGGATTGAATATGGGATTTGGTATAAGAAGAATGCTGATAACACTGATATTTTCAGCTGTTGCTGAGATTTCAAGGACTCTACAACTCCCATGTCCTGCCCATGTGCAGGTGGCAGAAGAAATGGTGAGGGAGCATGGCCGGAGCACTGGACCCAAACTGGCCAATGAAATATTCCATATCATGTAACGCCATGCTCCATATATAGAGGAGGGTTGGCTGGGAAGGAGGGGTTCCCTCTTGCTTCTGGGATTCCTATTGCAGAATCTTGGTATTTCAGGATCACTAGCCAGGAACAGGCTGGGTGTTGGTCAGCAGGTGGTGAGCAATTGCATTGTGCATTGCCTGTTTATACTTTCTATTATTGTCATTGTTTTATCTTATTACCTTTATTAAACTGTTTTTATCTCAACCTAAGCATTTCCCTTTACCCTTCCAATTCCCTTCCCCATTCCCAGGCGGGGGAGGGTGGGTGAGCGGCTGTGTGGTGTTTGGCTGCTGACTGGGTTCAAACCATGACAATTAGTAAAGTAGTAGAGCTGAAGAAATTGGAAATGAGCATCAGATGGTAATGTTTTCCAGTGTTTTATCTCTAGGAGATAACCATTATTATGATCAATAATCTAGGCAATGCTTATTGTTAAAGATGATACTGTAGTTAATGGAATTGAGCATAATTAAGATATCACAACTATCAAGCAAAAGTGAATTACTTGGTAATCTGTACTTGTCTGAATATCAGGTATTTTGATACTTTCAAAAGAAAAGCCATAAATTTAAGTATAATGAGTGGAGGTCATGTTGATGAGTTGGGGTTGGGGCCCAGGAAAGCAGCAGCTGCATGTTCTGTCAGGCTGTTCCAGAGAGGATCTGGAAGTCCTGTGGGAGAATGACATCACATTTTCTTCTGTTGGTAAAGATGCAAACTGTCTCACTTTGCCCAGGCGAGAACATTCTCTCAAGCACCTGAGGCAAAGATGTCAACGGTGCACCCAGTGCATTCATCAGAAACGTCACCCAGAGCAGGCCAGCGTGGGGCGGTGGGATGGCACTTTCAGGGAGCACCTCACCCGTGACAAGGGAAACTTGGCTTTGAATTAAGGCCCGCAGCTGGCCCGCCCTTGGACTCCGCTCCCTGCCTCGCTTCTGGGCATCTGGCTTAGAAGCGCCCTGGCCGGGGCTGCTGCGCGCTGCCGCTTTAAGGCGTGCAGGCTCTGCCAGGCCGAGGTCCTCTCCAGGCTGGAGCACCAGGCACAGGCAGCAATCCTCCGCTCCGCAGGGCTCGCACTCGCTCGCTGCTCTCTACTTAATAACATTTGGCTGCTCGGGAGACATCTGACCAGCGAGCTAAAGGCTTCCTCCCAGTGTGGCAGAGTTTCACCTGGGGCGGGCGGCAGCTGCCACCATGGCAGCAGCAACGGGCTCTGCTGCGGTAAAAGCTGCCAAGTCCTGCAAAAAGTACCGAACGGTGAAGCGGCACGCCGGCATCTACACCTACCAGGAGCCACCCCACAGGTAAGAGACCCTCCTCCCTCCTGAACTGCAAAGCTGCCTTATCTAGCCTAGAAGTGGCAACTTGTCTTTTCACTTTTATTTAGACAGTGTGTTAACACGGAAAGGAGCGTGAGAAAAATCACTCTTCTCTCTCTCTCTTCAGATGTGTTTCAAACCTCTTTGGTTTTTATTTTCACAAAAGTCATGTTTTATACTGCAACATAAACACTGCTTAAAACAGTGTAACTCCAATGAGTTTAGGATATAGCAGAGTAAGACATCTCTCTACTTTTACTGTGTAATTATACATTTGCCTTGAATGTCCCCTGTGACTGAGGTGACAGGACTGTAGACCGATGGATTAGATGAAGTATGTCCTTTGAATGTTCTTACAAGGCATAGTTTAGGTTATGATTTATTTTCAGGTGATTAAAAGGTGTTTCTTTTTCAGCAAAATTGCAGGGAACTTTCCCAACAAGTATATAGCAATACAATTAGAAAAATTCCTAGCTGGTGGTTGCAGTACTTCAGATCTCTTCATTCGGGGGGAAACACTCACCACAGGATTTTAAACCTAAGCCTCTGCAAGAATGAATATTGCTGCTGTTTCATGTACGATGCCCTGTTTCAAACAGCGAATTGTGAGAGCTGTAGCTTAGCAAATGTGGTGACAGCATCAAAAGAGGTGATTTAATAATCATCCACAGAAATCTGCATCAAAGCTCATGAAACTTTACAGGGACGAGTAATTCTTGGTGTGCGGGGTCCCACACCCCTTGCCCCCTTCAGCAGGGAACAGGAACAAAGGGCAACCATGATCTAAGCATCTGTTTCCCCCATTCTAGCAAGAAAGTATTTTATCATTATTACAATCAAAATAAAAGGCCAACACCACCTGGTGAATAAATGAATGTTAAGTGCTCTTGCTGGAAATGTTTAGACAGCACTTTGTTCCATAAAAATATATAGAGTGTCTTACTAGCATGATGTACAATCTGTATGGCTGGAAATGCTCGGAAAGACTGGGGAATGTGGATAATTTATGACTGAGCAGCAAGTGCTGGGGAAGAAAAGAGGCACGTCCTGGAGATGGGGAAATCATCCGAATTATTAATCATCTTTAAAACAATAAGGTCATGCGACTTTGTAGCTCACTGATGTCATATTGGTCTAATAGGATGGATTCTGTGCAAATCAACAGTTTTCTGGGGATCTGAATGGGAATAATTTGTCTTGTTTTCCCTCTCGTGGGGTGTTGGGTCTCCAGCAATTCAGATGACGATATTGGTGAAGAAAAGGCTGAGAGCCATGACCCGGAGCAGATCTTTCAGAACATCCAGTACCAGAAGGAGATTATGTCCAACATCCGCTGCCGGCCGTGGCCAATGAGGCAGAAGCTGAGGGCACTCAGGTAAAGGTGTTTGCATGAAAGCTTTCAGGCTCACTGACTGTGACAGTGCTTCCAGCCTCAGAAGTGTTTCAGTGTAAGCTAAAACGGATTGTGCACAGAAATGATTAAGAGCTGCTAGGAAAGCATGCCATGAGGATGCTCTGACAAGATCTGAGAGCTGGCTGAAGGCAGCAGCCTCAGAGTGGAAAGTCTGCAGGTGAAGTTGTCTCCTGTGCATGCCTGTGGGTCCCTTTAGACAGTCACTGTACAGATAAGAGAGCAATAAATCACACGTCAGCTATTAACTATTAAAACAGTGTGTCAGCTATTCAGTGATCTAAGGAAAGGCTGTTGGTAATACTCAGCAATACATTTTTAAGCTAAATTGTTTCACTCTGTCCCAAAGAGGAAAAACAGTCTCCCATTTTCAACATAATCACATGGTATGAGAACAGAAGTTGGTCATAATCTTCAGGTAACATATTGTAAATGGCAGTAACTACTGGACACTTGTAGGTTTAAAAGGTGTGTTCAGTGTAGTAATAACATGCTTCACATTTTAAGATTGCAATTATTATATTAATAATTCCAAATTTACAGTGAGAGTGGATGCCTAACTCTTTGGGCCACCTGTCTAAATTGTGTCAGGTCTTTCAGAGCATGATCTGTTTAAGGCTTGCTTTATTTTTCCTTTTCATCTGGCATCTTTCTCTTGAAACCCTGTAAGATGCTAGGATGGCATTTTATTCATGAGGAATCAATCCCTACCAGCAGTAGATAACTTTTGTAATCTTGGAAGCAGGGAGATTTTTCTCTCTTAGGCAGAGTTTGTGGCTTGCTGCCTTCCTGCTCCTGTTGAGATTTTGGTGGTCCCCATCCACCTTCCACTGAGGTCAGAGACTGCATATGACTAGATGGATGTTCAACCCTCTGCATTTTACAAGAGTGTTACACAGTATTTGCAGAAGAGGTATTAGTATCCACATGAGATTAACCAGCCTGTAATGGGGATCTTTTTATTTTACTCATTTGGGTTGAGCCATTTTAAAAGAAAGACTCTGAATTAAAAGGACAGAGAAAAAAAAAAAAACAAACAAACAAAAAACAACAACAAAAAGACCAAACAAACAAGCAAAACAAAACAAACAAAAACCCAACCAAACAAAGAAACAAAAAAAAAAACCCCAGAACAAAAATAGAGCAATAGAAAACTCTCCCCGCAGTCAAAGTTTTGAATGCTGAGTTTTCTCAGACAAAATTCTCAGTAGTTTTAAAGTGTCAGTAAAAACTTCTATAGGAAAAGAAAAAAGCTTTGTCTGGATAAGGGTTTTATAGTGAGACAGTCCATGATTGCACTTCAGAGCATTTGACAACTTTGCTAGTTGCTGCTTGTGCAGAATAAGGGGCTGTGAGTAACGGGATCAATGTAGAATGAACTTCCACCTTCTTGTGCAGACAGGCAAAGGAGATTGTGCTGAAGTACGAAGGGAGGCTCACTAGAACAAGGGGTTACCAAGCCGCTGGTGCAGAGGTATGGCTGTTTTTTCTTAAATTACAGCTCTTTTCTATACCAATAGTCATCTGTGGTCTTCATTCACAGAGGCATATGTTTGCTATGCAGTCCTAATCTCCAACTCAGGAACTCTGTAGAGAGAGGGAAAAACAATTAAAAGCTTTTTATTTTTTTTCCCCCCCTCTATTGTGAATTTAGTAATTACATTTTTACAGACTAATTTGATGTGTTGAGGGATGGATGTCCTTCTATTAACAGCAGTATAAGCTTCCTTCTCAAATAATCTACAAATATTGATGCCTGCTAGAGGAGGTGATGGGAATGAGATACTAATAACACAATACTAGTATTCTCTGAAAAGCTATTTCACCAGACTCTGGGGTCACAGTTCAATAGTTCAGTATGAAAAAATACATCTAGCTTTCAGTTTGGGAGAAAATCCTACAATAGCTTATGGTAAATACATTGTTAAATAAGGTTTTTGCTTGCATAATACTCAAAGAATTTGAATCTAATCTTAGCAAATCTGCTTACATGACTGAAAATAGATTCTGGCACTAATTTCTGGAAATTAATAACATGTAGCAAATTGTCCCTAATATGCAACCAACAGAGAAGAGATCTTTAGTCATTTAAGCAGTCAAGAATATTTTTGTCATCATAATGAGTAGACTTTTAATGAGTAGCTTATCTTAATTCAAAAATGCAGGCTTGTAACAGTAAAATAGAACACCATGCATTTTATTCATATGAACAAATGAAAAGCTGCATATGTTTCTGTTGTTATGTTGACCCACAGCAAAGGTTAAAAATACTACTTTCCAACATAGGAAGGAGTCATTTTTCCTTGTTCTGCCTTTGCAGAAGTAATGCAGTGGATGTTTCAAATGCTGTTAAAATAAATACTGGGTTTTGCCTTTGCCTTGAGTGGAACTAGGATGTTACCTAAAAAGATAAGTGCTAAGAGTCTGCAATACATGTCAGTAAATCAGAGATTGGGCTCATTAGTTGTTCATATTCCTCTTCATATAAAAAAACAGTTGACTTTCATCTTAGAATTCACAATGACTTAAAGTTTGTATCTAATCTAATTGCCTCTATTGTGTGTATTTGCTAGAAGATATTCAGCACTGGGATATAACTCAGCAGTTAATTAGCACCTCTCATTATGTGTAGGGGAACTGTATTCTTTTTTCCTAGCACAAATTGGGGAATATAGCCTTTACATCAGGGCTGTATTCAGCAAATGCAGCAGAATGAGCTGCTTTCAAATACCTTTTACTGTTTTCACACTGAAAGCATTTTTCCTTTTCAGTTCAATTATTTTATATTTGCATTGTATTTTTTTTATCTTTGCAATTAATGCTGGATGCCCATACTCTGCATTCTAAGAGTATAAATTACCTATTCAGGTATGCAGTAGGCAGTAAAACATGATAGCTATCTAATTATAATTTTAACAAATACTGCTCCCACATGGGCACCTTTGTATACTTTATAAATCTGAAGTACATCTGGCACAAGCTGCTTGATTCCTTTCTCAGCCTTGTGAACTCTGTTTTCAAATGAAAGTAGCAATCCCAGCAATTCCCATGCAATTTACAGCATCTACAATTTCTTTGCTTAATTAAAATACTTCCTGTTCATGCAATAAAGTATCCATACCACCATTGAAATTAATTAACTTTGGCCAAAGATATTGATGATATATTCAGTAATTAAAATGTTATTTACTCCTTTTTGGTTTTAGGAGATTAGATTACATGATATAATATTGACACTGCTACTGCCTAAAATACAGGGTGTTTTTCAATATCCAGCTGTTTTAACAATACTTTATAATGCATGATATACAAATATTATTTTCCTGTTAATACTGTAAAGTTATAACTCTAGTTCAACAAATAAAAAAACCCACTCAGTTTTGCACATGCAGATTTTGTTTCTTCTCCCACATGTGTAGGCACACCCAGCTGTATGCTGGAAGATGCTTTCCTCTGACCATGCAAAAAATGGAAGTTGAATAAAGACTCTACAAAATATAGCCACAGGTTTTCCACAGGTGTCAGCTGTACAACACAGAGCTGAGAATATAGTAGCTGAATCTGCTGCTGTTGAATACAAAAGCTTATTTTTCCTCTAAGAAAGCTTCCTCTAAGACATTATGTGTCTCTTAAATTTGAAATTGGTTCTCTGTTTGTCCTAGAAAGCAAATTTACTACGTGTAGTGCTGTGGGATTCCCTCATAAATTACAGAGAGGCTCGGCGTCCCGGCAGCCCCCAGCCTGGATGGCTCCTGCCGCCCAGAGCCGCTGCCCAGCGCTTCTCCACAGCCCTCAGCCGCGGAGAAGGGACAGGGAGTGGCACCCATTGCCTTCCTTCTGCTGGTTCCTCACGGTCTTTGGGTGTAAAAGGTGCAGATTGGTGGCTCCTGACTGTACCCTCCGAGGTGTATAAAGGGTGCTCTGTCTCATCTTTGTTGGTATTTGGTCAAGGACTCCTTGTGCTCCCCCATGTTTTGTGTTTTTCTAAAACCCACCATGGTTTGCTTTACCCACCTTACCCACATACATGCTCCAAGATCTTAGTAACTAATGTTTGTAGTATTTCTTGTGATACATGATGAAAGAGGCATGAGCAAGATACTCTGCATTTCAGGTTTTATTTTTTAACATGCAGAAGTGTTGTATTTCTCGTTTCTCTGCTTTTTTCTCAGCTTTGGAGGAAGTTTATTCGACTTGCATATAATTTTGTGGTAATCTTTATTCCTTGGGAAATGAGAATAAAGAAAATTGAGAGTAAGTATAAAGATTTAATGGTATTGAACAGTGAAGCACTTGCTAAAATGCTGAGTCTTAGGGTATACTTTTAATTTACTGAGGTAATATCTGGGAAAGAGTTAAATACAAACTTTCAGCAGTGACATTTGCATTTCAAACTTTGCTTTTTCTTCATTTCCTGATGCCTTAGACACCACACAGTACTGATTTATGGTCTTAGTGGGGGTAACTTTTAAAAAGTCAAATTTGTCCCATTATGATTCTGAAAGTGCAGCAAGGTTTGGTTATAGTTTATCACAGTCCATGGGGCAGCATCCTCAGGCGAACATCCCCCGATCTGCCCAGGGTTACTTGTGGTTCAAATTAAAGCCACCCTTAACATTACATCAGCAACCAGGTCACAGCACTGTGCTTCAGTGGTAAAGGGAAATGGATGCATCATGTCACCCACCTTAGCAGCTTCTTGTGTAAATGCTGCCAGTAATCATGAGACTTCCCCAACAGAGTTTGTGGTGGAATTGTATTTTTCTCAATGACATGTTAACATTTTCTCTACTTTGCTGTATGTCCCGCATGAATAAGAAATAATTTTGTTTTATTATTCATATAATACTTAATGAATAAATGGTAGGAGCTTTTATAGACTGCGTAGCTCAGATAACTATTTTCTGTGGTTTAAGGTCATTTTGGGTCTGGAGTTGCCTCTTACTTCATCTTCTTGAGATGGCTATTTGGAATCAATATTGTACTTACCATAATGACGGGAGCATTTGTAGTCTTACCAGAGGTAAGAGCATGTTGTTCATATTTACAGAAAAATGCTTATTGTTGCGCTTCCCTTTCTGAATTAAACAAATGCCACACTTAAAGGCATGCATCAATTTCAAATGTACAATTTAAAATGAATTATTTAAAATAAATTCCCCTGTTAAGAGGTTTTTTTCTGCCAAAGGATGAGATATTTTTGCTATTAGTGTTAGAGATGATATTTTGTCAACAATAGTACTAATGCTTTTACAGAATATGCCTGTATCCGATTACTAAAATGAAGAACCAAATCCTAAAAGCTGTAGTTTGTGTTGAGTGTGCTCGAGTACTCTGTTGCATCAAATGACTCTTTAGTGTTGTTTACAGGCAGAAAAATGTAACATCCCTCTGCAGACTCTAGATTATTGTCCTTTAGAAATAATTTTCTAGAAGTTCTGAACAGCCGCAACTTTGTTTATTTCTTGCATGAAAGTAAGGCTATCTGTTAACTTTGTTAAATTATTCATAAATAATATTTTGCCTCGCCAAACCTGCACTTTAATAAATTTATCAGAAAACATGGGAATATCTGATTTTTCTTCTCAATGGCTAAACTGAAAAAAAAAGTAAGCACCCCCAAAACAAACCAAAAAGTGAACTGTGAAATAGAAAAGGTGCTCAGTTTCATTTTTTACTTTTTAAGGAAAAGTAGATTTAGTCTCAAAATATCATTTTGAAATCAAATGCTGTCATCTTTAATTTAAAAACACTTAAAAGAATTATAACTTTTAAAGCTATTTTGTTAGCGGTTTCAGTTGATCTCTTTTCATTTCTCAGCCATTTTGAAGATGTCTACAGAGCAGTAAATTTCCTGATAGGTATACCACAGCAAGCAAAAAAACCCTATCTGGTTTAGTGGAAAACGAATGCAGGATTTCTCAAGGAGTTTCTAGTTTAGGATGAGGAATGACCCAATACTCGCCACCCTGATCATATCACCCGGGTGGGTGGGCGGGTGGGCAGCTCTTGGCGGGTTCTGCTGTGCAGCCCCAGGTCCGAGGGGCTTGCACAGCTCCCGACACCGTCTCTCTCTTTCCCAGCTACTGGCCGGAGCCCCATTCGGCAGCACAGTGAGCAAGACCATTCCCAAGGAGCATATTGCGTCTGCTCAAGACCTGGACACCATCTGGTCACTAGGGGCAAGACTAACACCACTCTATTCTTTCGCTATCGCTGTTCTGTTGTAATCACTAGTTACTGCTCTTGCTTACGGACTCTGGTCTTTGCAGGGCTACCTCCAGTACTCTGTTTTGTTTTACGGCTACTACGGTCGTGACAGGAAGATTGGGAAAGCTGGGTATCGGCTGCCTCTTGCCTACTTCCTCGTTGGAATGGCAGTGTTTGCTTACAGCTTCATCATTCTCTTAAAAAAGTAAGACTTCCAATTTATTTCTGTCCATAAGCTTGTGTGTTCAGGTAATCATTAACGGTGTATTTATCCCATTTCCTCTGTATTTATTCTGCACAGTTCTATTAATCTGTTCAAATCTGCTAATATCAGGGAGGCAGACTGAGTTTAATTCTAGCTTGCTTTTTATCTTGCTATCATTTATCTTTGTGCTCTCTTCAGTTTCACAGTCTATAGAAGGAGAGCAGCACAGAAGATGATCTATGTGCTTTGGGTTTGTATAGTGCAAGATCCAACACTCACGGAAATCCCTTCTGTTTTCTTTTTTTCTGGTATAAATATTGTTATGGCAGAAATTTATATTTTAAGTGCAATGCTTTCAGCATTATTATTCCCATCTACTGAAATAAAAATATACAAATTCCATCCTAGATGTAATATCGTTTGCATTGTTTCAGCCGGTATGTGGCATCCCATTTGAATGTAAGTTTAATTTCTTTGCTGTTGAAGGGCCAGGAGCAGGAGTTACTTAGCAGAGATAGAAAGACTGTTAGTGCTGACCATAAATCCAGAAATGTGCAATGCTTGGAGAGGGGCAAGGTCACTCTATGCTCTTCTGATTTGCTTTCCCTTCCCTTCTGGATACCTATTTATTCAGCACAGTGCCGTTCAGGGACATTTTTAGCGCTGCCTATAATAACTCTGTTTTGAAGCCAAACCTTTTCTTTTCATTTATTTTTATTCTGCCTGCTGGTCTGTGCCAAGTGTCACTGATATGTTTGACACTGATCTACACATCTGCAGTTTCTGGATATGGTTAGCTCTTCTCCTTCTGACTTAGCTCACTGACTCTTTGATTAGCTGCTTACAGTTCCCCTTTTAATGTTGTCCTTTTGGATGTCCTTTCTTCCACAAGCTATTAATCTTAATTTCATTTCTTACACTTTGCAATATTCTGCCAACTTGTTTATCTGAGATGAGTAGGTGGAGTTTTCTTTCTTTTTCCCAAGGTCTGTAAAATGGCACTGGATTTCTATTTGACAATAACATATATTTTGCGGGTGAAAACAATACTGAAAACAAACAGCTTTTTGCCAAACTAGCCTGTAATCACAGTAATAGTGATCTTAGTGATGGTATCTTCCACCTTGATCGTACCTGGAGATCATAAAACTGAAATGTGTTTAAGTCCACAGTTCTAGTGAGATTTATTTGCTTTATTTGTCAGCTATAAAGAATATAAATATCAAAATGGCCTTCCATGGTGAGTCACTTCGGCACTAGAACAAAAGTGAAGTTCATACTCTGAACCTCAACCTGTTTTATTTTTTTCAGAAAGCTGCCAACAATGACACTAATTGATGCAAACTTTTGGTGATTCTAAAGGCACAGATGTCTGAAAACTCTGAACTAAACCAGTGATTTCCTTCATATTCATCTTCACACATTAACAAGGGTTGAATATTTTTTATTTTTTGCAGAATGGCAAAAAACTCAAGAATGAGTTTAGCAAGTGCCTCTGATGAAAACTATACTTTCTGTTGGAGACTATTTTGTGCTTGGGACTATTTAATAGGAAACCCCGAAGCTGCAGAGAGCAAAGCTGCTGCCATAGTTAATAGCATTAGGGTGAGCAACTAACCTTCAAATTATTTCCAGTTTACTTGTTTATTAATCTGTAAACTATATAAGGCTTTCCTCTCATTCCCTTGCATTTCCTATTTTTTTTTTTTGGTATTCATTTACAGATCTGTTTGCCTAGGGGAGGGTTGGTATTGCATCCCTGTGTGGTACTACAGTCACTTCATACTTGCTGACACTCTCACTCTGTCCCAGCAAGGCCACTGTGTTGTTCTTCAGAAGCATTTCATTTAATGCCACTGTATATGTAACAATAAGTTAGAAAACTAGAAACAAATTTGCTTGTGATATAGTTTCATTGAGTAATAGAATCAAATTCATGTTAACAATGTGAAAACACTCATTTATTTCATCCCTCCATAACAAATGGTCCAGGGGTATCTTACAGCCCTCTCAATATTAGAAAATTTCTTTAAATACAGATGTTTTCCATTTAGAATATAAGAACAGATGTGGTTTTCATAAAAAGTAATTTATTTCTCAAATTTGTTGTGTTCTTATTAAGTCATTGAACAAAATTACTTCAAATTGTGTCAAGGATAAATTAAAAAGCTATCATACTTAGTTATTATAAGGATAACCTTTGACAGTTCTGCATTATGTTACTGACACGTGGATTCTATAGACACATCCTGCAAAAAGATCTGGTAGTGTAAACCTCTGGTTGTACCCCACTGAACATGCATGACTGAAAGTGCACAAGTATTTGAATACTGCATATTTGTTTCTCAGAAATCTCCTTCCCTATTGAGGCTCACCTATCACTCCTAAAAAGCTATACAGAACAGAGAGATATTTTCTACTTGTTCTTCCAGAATGTGAAGGATTTTATTAGTATACTTGATACCTTCTGTGAAAGATATGTACATTATTTTTTGCTGAACACTATTAAAATTATAATGCTGTGTTTCTTTCAAGGAAGCTATATTGGAAGAGCAGGAAAAGAAGAAAAGCAAAAACTTGTATGTATATAAGATCGGAGATACTTTTAAAAGCACTGTTTCAATGCAAATAGCAGTGCTTCTCTCACACTTCTAAAAACCATGTTAGAAAAGACCCCTGGTGTCATAAGACAACCTACTGTATTGGCTATGTCTTTTTTTTTTTTTTTTTTCCCAGGGCAGTGACCATAAGCTTAAGAATTATTGCAAACATCCTTGTGCTTCTTTCTCTTGCTGGTAGTATTTACATCATATACTTTGTCGTGGATCGATCCCAAAGGTTAGAGCGCACCAAAAAGGAATTGACTCTTTGGGAAAAAAATGAGGTATGCTGTCTTTATGCCACCTCTATGTTAGAAGCAGGATTATTGTCTCAGGGGTCTCTGTGGCAATAGTGTGCACTGAGGCGTAAACTGCGAGAGATTAGCCAGGAGAAACAAGGAACGAGAGGGCAGAGTGGCTGTTATCTGTGTCTTCGCACACTTGCTGCCTCTGCCCTGCAGCAAGGCATTAGCAGAGCTGAAGGGGCTGAGGGGGTGCTGCAGGTCCTCATTTCACAGAGGCTGTCTTTCCAGCTGGCCCCTATTTTGTGAGGACAAAGCATAAACTCTCCTGTCACTTACAGATCTACTTTTGCACCCGTGATTGAGCTGAGTGAACACTGGGCCAACAGACTAGAGAGAAATCAGCTCTGACAAGAGCTATTGATTTCAGCTGGGGAATACTGAACGTTCTGTGAATATTTCCATTCAGAGGAATGAGTGGATACCAAGAGTAGGAAGTGAATAAGTATGGAGAAGCTACTCATCCATTTCAGGGGAAGATGCTGGCCTCATATTTCACACATGTTAAGTTTTTATTTTAATTAATAAAGTAGTAACTTCAAGGCAACAATGTCTGGAGTAAAAATTCCGGAGTAGTGTTTCAGATCTATAATTTTGAATCTTACCCACAGTTATTAATAATGTCAATAATAACTTTTTAAAACATCTCCTCCAAGAAAAGCAATCACCAAAGCATGTGCAGCAGCAGTATTTCAATAAGCACTCAAGGTATCACAGAACATCTACATGAAAAGCTACAAAAATGCTGCATCTTTCTGTTCTGTAGGTAAGTGTAGTTGTGTCACTGATTACAATGATTGCACCCTCTGCTTTTGAACTTGTGGCAGCTCTGGAAATGTATCACCCAAGGACTACTCTTCGCTTCCAGCTTGCCAGGTATGGGCATTATGTAGTGTAGAAAATATGTGGGAAGAAAGGGCGGAAGAGGAGAGATGTGTTCTGGTCACATGTCTTAGTCCGGTCAAACCAGAGAACGTATGAGAAGTCAGTGGTATAACAATGCCAATAGCCTTTATCTTACTCTTCTTGTTTTCAGGGTTCTTGTTCTATACCTGGGAAACCTCTACAGTTTAATCATTGCTCTCCTGGATAAAGTGGATAGTATGAGTGTCACTGTAAGTTTAACATGATGTTTTCTAATGTGTGAGGCTATTAGAATTTATAGATAGAATTCCATTTATTGTGATACATATGAAGACAGATGAAAATTTGTTTGAAATTAATTAAAACATACTACGTTTTGTTAGGATTGTAGTTAAGTTTAGTCTGTAATGTTCATTTACAACTGCTTGTAGTTTTTTAGGATCCATTTGATTGCTGATGTAACATGATAAATAGATTTCTGTGTATTGCTTAACTATTAAAAAAAAAAAAAAAAAAAAAAAGCCATCACTTTAGGTCAAATATTTCCAGCTACATAAAATCACCTCTCAGTACTGTCCTTACAAGTCCCATCTGACTTTGTACATTGGCGGCTACTTAATAGTCACCTAACTGCTGCTTGAAAATACATGAAGATATGCCTCTATGTGTGTACACTGTAGAAGGTACAGAGATATGCATATATGTACAGCTGAAAAAGTAGTTTTGGGGACATTTATTTTTTCAGGACTCTGACGTTAACAACAATGCAAGTAATTCTACCACCTTCTTAGTAACCAAAACTCTTTCTAGAGAAGACAATTTATCTACAACTACTCCTGATGTACAAATTCAGAGAAACAGCATTGTCACATTGGAAGAGAGTCGCACTCAAGGCTCGACAGTGTCTGAGTCACTGGTTAACAAAACAATTTCCTTTAACACCCAGAACCCACAAGATCAGTGCTGGGAGACATATGTTGGTCAAGTACGTAACATTTTTATTATGTCATCAACTTATTCCTAAACCATGTTTGACAAAAAATTAAAATCACATTGTGCTGTGTTCAATTTTAGCGCTTTTCTTTGTATAAATTCCAGAATTTAGCTAATGATTATGTAGAAAGGGTAGAGACTACGCAAAGTGATATGGCCACAGATACAAGCTTTGTTTTTTGTTTGGTATCTACAATGTGTTTAGTGTTGTACATATGTTCTTTTGCCAGACGTCGGTCTCTGTCTTCAGCTTTGCGCAGGTGGATCTCTACAGATGCATGACACAAATCCTAGTTTTTTAAAAAAGCCTTTTACACTCACAGAAAAACATGACTATAAAAATGTATAAGCAGTAACATGCACCCTGTGCAGATTCAGATTGCTGCCAGGATAGATGGGGACACAGACCTGAGCCAAGCATGAGATTGTGTGCTTGGTCATTTGTACACTATCTTTGAAGTCTCTATTCATTCTGCCTCGGTAAATTGCTAAAGAATCAAGTGTTCTTCACTTTTTCAGAGAGAAAGAGGACAACAACAAAAGATTTCAAAATACTGTCGGTTTGTAAGAAACGATCCAGTTGGGTGACAGCACCATGTATGCATATTCCCACAGTTAGGTTGCAGAAAATCTGCAGTATTAATGACACTTTTTGCTTCCCTACGTGTGAAGCATACATCATTTCTGGCCTTTACTTTGAGTGACTAACAGTGGCACTAACATATACAGACTAAAATTTTAACCACACAAAATTCAAAAGATGCAATTTGATCCCAATGTACTTTGGTCTCTGTCAGCGTTGCACTTACATCTAGGCCACTAGATTAAGAATGATGCTAGCATGCTTCTGACTTGCTGAGCTCCTTGTTCCAGAGTGAGCAATAATAAAGATCTTGTTTGACTGTCTGGAGCAAAAGACCTCTCCTAGGCTTATTAGCCTGACTGCTATTCTTGTAAGCCCCACTCCCTATTGCACAGTCATCAGGAAATTTTTAGAATCGGTGTTCATGGGGTTTTTTGATTGACTGTTTTTTCCCCAGCATGGGCTGGAGATGTTTAGAATTGAATCTTTTCTATTTAATTGTACATTTTAAAGCTCAATTAACTATAGGATAACCCCATTCATTTGTAAGCACTAAACAGGTCTCTTATGGCTTGATGATCCTACTGCCATTGGGTTTTGATTTTGAATGAATAATAAGCATTTTTCATTGTGAAGCACTTAGCAAGGATGTTTTACAACAGTCAGTATAATAAAGAATTGATCACAATAGAAAAACAAACCCATTTCAGTTCATCTAGATAAATTTTCAGAACAGTCATTAAAAAGAAAGCTTGAAGCCATCACAACCAGAGTTTTATGGCTGCAAGCAATAGAAGGCTCACTAGAAGCTTGATTATATTTGTTCTCTTTGCTAGAACGAAGACAAGTAAGGGAAAAGTCAAACATAAAAGCTAAAAAGGAAATAATTTATGTATTCAAATCATATTTTATCAGGATACTAAGTTTGAGCCAAAATACAAGTACAAATGCAAAAGAGCCATATGCAGTCCATTTGCTTCCAGAATGACTCAGTATGTGTGAACAATATGTATTTCAGGAGATGCTAAAGCTTTCAATTATCGACATGATATTCACAGTCGCAAGCATCCTACTAATTGATTTTTTCCGAGGGTTGTGTGTCCGATATTTAAGTGATTGCTGGTGCTGGGATCTAGAAAGCAAGTTTGTAAGTACAGTCTTTATTTTATCAAACTATGATGCTGAATATGGGTAGGCTCCTTCCCTTAGTACTGAAAGTCCTTAAAGCCTTTCAACACATAAATAGTTTCTTGGTAGCACACATATATATAACAGCACAGCTCACACCAAGTTTAAATTGGAGGGCACAGGGTAAACACTGATGTATTTCTCAAGACTACTCCCATGGCTATGGTGCATGTCTTTCCCAAAATGAGATCATGGAGCAGTTCCAGAGTCAAAGAGGAGACAGAGGGCATGCAGTTGCTCCCAACATCCTCTTTTCTGTAGCTCTAAAATCTATCCATAATGTAGATAGTGGTTCAAGAAACAGTAACCAAAAGCCTATAGCCCTTTAAGAAAATTACAGTGAGTAATATTTAGTTAGCAAGAAGATGTTGGCATGAAAGGCTGAAGACTGCTCTTTGTCCTTAACTAAAGAAGTGAACTAGAGAGGAATTAGTTTATTGAATCCCCTGCTGCAGGGTAGGTTTTACTGTGTTCCCACTGCCTGCCAAAAGTTGATATTTGATCTGGATGTTTCCAGCTATGTGCTGTCTGCAAACTGATTTAGTCAAATGTGTCTAATAAATGATCTGGAAAAAAAACATTAAGACAAGGCATTCACCCTACACTGTGTTTCTTGTAGCCAGAATATGGAGAATTCAAAATTGCAGAGAATGTATTGCATTTAGTCTACAACCAAGGAATGATCTGGTATGTAGTCCATAAGCAATTATTCTTGTCCTTTGTTGGCTGTTTATTAAATCAATCTGAAGCTTTCCAATGAAACTTATTCAAGTAGGATATTGGTAATGCAGTCTTTTATACTTTATTATAAGAAGAGATTGTCTGTTGCTAGTGAGCTGTTGCTCACTGTAGAAGTTTTTTTCTTATGTTCTTTTGCTATTCAAATTGATTCTGGCAACACTGAGCACTGACATTATATTATTTTTCCAGGATGGGAGCTTTCTTTTCACCTTGCTTACCAGCATTCAATGTTCTCAAGTTGATTGGACTCATGTACCTGAGGAGCTGGGCTGTGTTAACGTGTAATGTACCACATCAGCAGGTTTTCAGAGCATCTCGGTTAGTCAAAATAAGAACAAAAGATAAAGAGTAAATCAAATGCAGACAACAGAAATGTCTTCTGCGCATAGGAACAAAATGGCAGGAGATTTTAGCTCTGAAAGTTGACAATCATGTTTGATAGTAATACTGATAGCAAAGGTATGTGAAAAAAACATAGTAACTAAGAAACTGGAGGGTTTGTAAAGCCAGGGTAGTTAAAAGATATGCAAGAACTGAAAAAATATGTCAGGGAATATTCCTAGACCATATATGTGGCCTAACATAAATGCTTTACTTCCATACAAACCTGACGGAGCACAACTACCTATGTGTGTTCACTGTTGCAAGTCCTACTTCTTGATGTTTCTTTCTTTGAAAGCTATGAAGCATCTGCTTTTGCCTGCTGCATCACACAACAGATTTCCCCATTTTTCTTCTATGATGATGACTATCTTAATTGTTTACTCAGGATGGAAATAATTTAGGGCATCTCTAATTCTTAAGAATCAGTTTTTTCTAACATGTTTTAAAGATAAATCAACTTCTGCTACTGTTTCTCCCCAAACACAACTGGGCAGTAAGGTCAGTTTTTATAAAAGGGTGCTATAAACTGTTCTCTGGCTGCAGCAGTGCTATCTGGAAAGCAGTGCAAATAGGATTTTGATCATTAAGAGTCTGTTTAGACTGGCTCTGTTCAGACTTTCTAATCACAGAAGAATGATTTTGATCTTTTAGAAATTTAGATCTTTAACTTGTTAGATAGATACAGACTTGTACCTCTTATGTTGCCTCTATTTTTCTCCCTGATTAGTATAATCTGAAATGTGTTACGCCTTCTTGCAGATCCAATAATTTCTACTTGGCCATGCTGCTGTTCATGTTGTTCTTATGCATGTTACCAACAATTTTTGCTATTGCCCGATATAAGCCATCTTTAAGCTGTGGTCCCTTCAGGTAAGTTATAATGGACTACTGAAAATTGCAAAGATTTAATTTCACCCTCTCACAATAAATTCATCAGGTTAAATAATACCCAAATTACCGATTAAAAGAGAAGGAAGTTTATAGACAGGACAATGTTTTTCTCCTGCCAGTGTTTTTCAGTTCAAGATTTAATTGGGTGAATATGTCAATATTCTAAGCGAGGCTTGACATTTTGCTTTATATACATGGTTCAGTTATTTTATGTTTACATAATGTAATGTGCCACTGAGCAATTTAGCACGCATCACCATCTTGTGTCTCAATTCAAGCGCCCTCCAAGCCTGGCCAATGCTTTTGTGCTTTTGAAATTGCAAATGAAATTGCTAAAATTGAAATTGCTGTTAAAAAGCAAATAACAAGTTGCTTTTATCTTCTTTTTTATATTATTTTTTTTCCTTTCACGGTACTGTTCCAAAATAGTTTTGGATGAAACTCCTTGTTTATTCAGTGCCAACACTGCTTAGCAAATTGATGTACCTAGGATTTCTGACAATTTTACCTTTTTTTTTTCCCCTCTTGTAGTGGACAAGAAAAAATATATGATATTGTTTCTGAAACAATTCAAAATGATTTTCCCACATGGTTCAACACAGTGATTACCTACATCAGCAGTCCTGTGGTGGTCCTCCCTGCACTACTACTTTTATTGTAAGTACTTTGTTTTTCACAGGCAGGTTAAATTGATTGTATTAATACTGGCCTTATCTCTGGAGAGTCAAATGTTGATACTGAGGAACAAATACTGCATTATTGTCATTATATTAAGCATATCTGAAAAAAACCAAACACCTGATTGAATATATGGTATATGGATCAGGTGGGAATGAGAGTATGTTAAAAAGACTGTCATCACATTTTCAAAAGGAATTTCATGTTCTGGGATACCATGTTAAAGCAAGTTCACTATATTGTATCTAGGCTTGCAGTGCTATTTGTTCCAGGAAGTTTTAAGATCCTTATTCCCTCTCTAGCTCCTCAGAAATTAATGTTCCATTTCCTCATGGTCCTTAGTTCGGTTTATGACTGCAAGCAGGCCTCAGTCTATCATTTAAAGAAGCTACCCAGTCATCTTGATTTCTGACAAGATAAATCAATTATGAAGGTCTGTTCTTACATGTTAATGTAATATAACTTGCTGCAGACTTTCCAGAGGAAGTCCTTTCTTACTCTAGTTTCTAAATAATTGTTCACAGCTGGGAATTAATATCTACTGTGAGCTGTTTGAAATTCACTTTGCTCTATGAAGTATCATTTGTCTTGCCATGTACCTTTGTATAATTTTTTTTCCCTGTAAACTACAGACGAATGAACAGTTTGTCCCACCAGTGGGCTTTTCAGACAAATCAGAAAGACCAAAGCAATACTTCCCGTTTGTAACTTTTTACTCTAAGCTCACAGCCATGTAAATATGAGCATATTTACAAATTTAAGTAGATCTATTGACTTCTTCAAACTGATGCCTAAGCACATATGTAAATGTTTGTGATATGAAGTCTAGCTATAAAGCTTCATCTGAAAGCCAGTGTAATCCATTACGTCAGGCCAGATCTCATCTCGGCTGTGCCAGTGTAAACAAGGTGTTATTCCAGTCAACAAAACTGCATTGGTATGAATGTGCAAACTCAGCTGTAATTCTGGTGCCTCTGTTCCATAACCTTGGATTGGGAAAAAAAAGATGAGAAAGTAGTTATCAAAATTTCATTCTAAGCATGTCCAGAATTTAAACAAAAGAAAGCTAGAAATGAAGAGGGTTACGTGCACAAAGACCTGCAAAAAAACACAGACACAATTAGAACTGTTGTTCAATCTGTTTTCAGTGTCACTTCTTTCTTTCATGTATGTTTGCTTGAAAGAGGGCTGTGATCCATTATCATGGCATAAAGAAAATGCTACAAAGCAGCAACTGAACCTGTACATCATTTTGATGACCTATAAACCCTCAAAGAGAAAACTGTCAAAAATGTTTGATGTGACTCATAATCACCTTTTTCACTTCTAGCATGCTAATCTATTATCTACAAAGTATTGCACGATCTTTAAAATTCACCAACAATCAACTGAGAATGAAGATCCAAACAGTAAGTACAGTTCAAAGCACTTTTACATGCAATTTGGTGGGTTTTCAGGAAACTACTAGCCTAATTAAATCTCTAAAGTCAGTGTTTCACAATGTAAAACCAATCCTGTATTTATCATCCTTACACAGCAGTGAGTTTACTCTCTAATCCATAATAACCTACTGCTTCTCATTCCTCTGAATGTATTTTAGGAAAGAACTGAAGATAAGAAAAAGGTGGTTCAGATGGCAGTAGGTAAGTTGGTGAGATTTAGAAATGCCACCATCAGTGAAGCATTTAGATGCAAAAAAATTTTGATTTCTCATACATATAGGAAAGTTCAACTAAATAAAAAAAAATCCTGTATTTCCTGTAGAGTCCTCCTTTTAGATGGTTTTTGAGCTCAACTTAATCCTGGCTGGGATCTTTGAACTGGCTATTTTCTGCTTTTACTACCAACAGGGCAGAACCTGGGAGGCATATCTGATGATTCAAATCCTGTCAGACCTTGTGCAAAATTCAGAGGGTAGTAGGCAGAAGAGGGAGAAGGGAATGCCCCCTATTCTTTGACTTGAGCAGGTTGAACATTTCCTAGGCAATTAAAAGATTTCAGACTTGTCTACTGTACCTGAGGGAATTTGAACCTGCACCTTCCACTTCTCAGATTTTAGCAATGAGAAACCAAAGAAAGGATGACATCTTTCTAATACCTCCCAGTGAAAGGAACACATAAATACTTGCCAAGCCAAAGAGGAGACGTGATTCAGTAGCCTTATGGCTAGATGTTAATGGCACTGTGACCCCCTCATAGCTCTCCAGTGGACATAAAAATGGTGAAATACCTGATGTATAGCAATATAGTGATAAGGAGTGAAAATTAAGGGTAATGAGGCATGTGTCATAGTTGGTATTTCCTTCTTACAGAAACCAAATTCAGCTTTTGGCTGTCACCAGCACAGTCACTGGAGCCAGTTTGCTGAATTCAGCCACTTTCATACTGGTGGTGTACATTGTGAACTAAAACAGGGCTCTTGAAAAGAGATATTGGCTTGTTGCCCATTTCGGAATCTTACAGTGCAGTGTCCAGTGTTTCTTCTGTGTTCTCCAATACTACACCTGACATGTACCACAGCATGCCAGTCCACCTCTTCATCACCATGTCTCCCAGTGTAACACCAGTTTATCTTTTCTTGAGTCCCCTGACTGAAGGATCAATTTGAGCCACTGTTTTTACACAGCAGCTTCTAAATTTAGAGGCCTGGACAGTTCCTGTAATAATTTCTGTTTTCTAGCCAGAATCCAAAATCTGGATGGGAATGACAAGAGACCAGAGCAAGAAAGTGATATTATCAGCCAGGAGTCTTCTGTTTGGTCCTCAACTCCCCGAAAGAACGGCACTGTCTTGAACTTTGAATCTCCTGTGAGCAAAGGCACCAGAATACAAACCATTTCCCAGTCTGTGCCACAAACTGTGCCCTCAACTGATGCTGCAAGACCCGTCAACACAACTCCCACAACTTCAAGCTCTTTAACGCCAGCTCCCTCAGTATCAAGTGTACAGAAACCAAGAAATGATCATATTGCGAACAGGCAAGACTGCTTTGGTTTTGAAATGGCATTTATTCCAGCAACTCTATGGCATACCTGTGTTTATTTACAAAACAGCTGTGTATTCAGACTGTCTGGAGCGGTAAAACTGCTGAGGAATTTTTTAAAAGCAGATTGATTCATGGGGTACTATTCAGGTTGCTGGTGACACCACCTCCTTAACCCTCCCTTAATTGAGACGGGATTATAAAACTTTTGAAATTATGTAGTTGATAGAGTTTACACACACCTCAAGCAAAGGTAAATACTAAGCTTTTCTTCGGGCATAAAACTAAAATAGTTTGTGCAGGATACGGTTTCCATGAACAAGACAAACACAGTAAGAGTGAAGGAACTCTGTGCAGAATGTCTGTGCAGGTTTACTTGTAGGACAACCAGTTTTGGACATCAGGAGACTGATGCTTTAAGGTACCTGTTGTTTTTACTTCCAAGTGATCAGATAAAGAGCATTTTTAAACAGTTCTCAGAATAATAAGAAAACAGAGTGGGAACATAACTTGAAAGGTCAACTGTCTGCTGCCTTTTCCCAGGGAAAACCAAATACATCTCCTAATTTCTGGGGTATGTTTCTTCAACTGGTCCTAAAAATTTGGAAAAATGGAGATTCTGTAATCTCTACCCTTACAACCTAATGTTTGACTTCCAGAGCAATTAATTTTTCAATATGTTTTAATTGCATTAATAGATAAATGTGTATCTCAATACTTCCTTCCTTTTTTCCCTTCCCAAAGGTACCCAAGTGTTGTGCATGGCAGTGCAAGTGAGCTTTGTAAAACAAAGCCCTACACACCAGTGACTTTCAAAAAGCCCAATGAAGATGTTCATTCTGAGCCTCTCTTCAGAAAAGGCATTCGGCAGGTAAATACGGATGCCCTTGGGGCAGGGGCTCCTGTTTTTGTGGGACGTAGACCATATGCTACCAGGTATTTTCTTGTTAATGAAAATGAGACTCGCAAAAAATCGCTCCGTTCTGCCTCCCGACTCCAACGGCACTTCAGAAAGGAAGAACTGGGAGACATTATTGAGTTGTATCCACGCAATGTCAGAAGATACGTGATTCGAACGCCACACCAGATGTATTCCCCTCATCTCAGTGAAGATGAAGAGGATGAAGTGGAACTTGGGAGAGAATTCATGAACAGATCCCATCGCCCGCGCTCACTGTCTGATCTTCACCCAGCACCACGATTTTATATTGGGGAATGTGCTGATGGCCACATTCTTATGAGCAAGGATCTAGCCAGAGTGCATTACAAATCCTGGGATGATGGTTTTGAGCTAGACCTGAACAGGCCTCCATATGCTTACAAGAAAGTGCACCTGAACTATCCTGAGCCACGTGCGAAACCAAAATCAAAGCAAAAGTTGGAGCAATCTCTAACAGAATCTGATTCCATTTCCATTGAATCCAGCAGTGATCCGCAGAACAGCAGCAATGACCAGTATATCCAGGTCATTCATAGCAAGGAAAAGTATCCGAAACCTGGGACAAAACTCATCAAAAAGAAATCAAAAAACAGTGTTGATTTGTCAGAGCCTAATGAACTGGTATGCTCAAATGTCTGAAGAAGTGCCCCAACCTTTTTGTGTTTTCAGCAGCTGTTCATGTATGTGTTGTACTTGCTGTTCGAGGTCTATCAGAATCGCTACAACGTGGTCTTTGCAACAATGTACTCAGCCACACAAAGTGGGAAAAGCATAGTTAGCCTTGTCTTTCACTGTTCACTGTACCTTGCCTTAACACCTCAACTGCTACATTGCAAATTGGAATAGAACATTATTCCAATTTATTACTTACTGTTATGCTGTTAACCGAACAAAATCCCCCCATACTGGAAAATCAAAAGCTATGTACTTGGGGCACTTTAATTAAACTGGTACAAAAATATGTCAGATGAGGCTCTCTCTGATGCAGTCACGGCTAAAGATGCTTCCACTGAATAAATTCAGCAGGTATTCCTACAAATAGAGTTGCTTTTTACAGTATAATTTATGACACCTTGACATGCTTAGCTTGAATATGGTGTAGCTCCAACAAATCTGCAATAGGTTAAATGGTGAGTTTCTTTAGAGCCGTCTGCACAGTCAACAGTTATTTGATTGCAGCAAGGCATGCCAGCCTTCTAGATGAAATCCTGGATCTTCTATTAATTTTCTGGTGAGGCTCCTCAGCCTAGGCTGATAAGCTTCACTGTGGAAAACTTTCTGTCCATGGCCTTTAAAAAAACCCTTGTTTCATTACTCCTAATTTAATTCTATCCCGTTCTTCACACACCGCAATTTTACACCTTCTCTTTAGATACTGAGGATTGCCTTTTTTTTTTTTTTTCTCTTTTTTTTTTTCTCCCCACACCATTTGGGTTACAGCGGGATAAAAAAGCCACTGCCCTTCAGCCAGGGCGCGGCCGGCTCCCGCCGAGCCGAGGCCGGGCGCCCCCCGCCCCGCAGCCCCAGGCCTCGCAGCGGGGACGGCGGCCCCGCCTTTAGGTGGGAGAACGGCGCAGGCTCCGCCTCGGCTCCCCGCCGTTGCCGAAGGCCGCAGCCGCTCCGAGGAACGTTTCTCAGAGCTGGGCGGTGCCCGGCCCCTCAGGTGAGGGGGCGGTGCCGCCATCGGCCCACGGGGAGCGGGGCGGCGCGGCGCGGCGGCCTCATAGGCGGCGGCCGAGCGGCGGCTCCGCCCTGCCCGGCCATGGACTACGCGGGGCTGGCTGAGGCGGCGGCCGAGAAGATGGGGCTCTACCGGCGGGACCCCGGCGGCTGGCGGGGCTGCCGGCGCACGGTGAGCCGGGAGGGGACGGGACGGGGGCGGCCGAGGAGGGGCGGGGCGTTGGGGAGCTGGCCCGGCCCGGCCCGGCCCGGCTCGGCGGCTGAAAGCGTCCCCCCTCCCCGCAGAGCGAGGTTTCGGTTTCCTGGAGACCCTCCGCGGAATTTGCTGGCAACGTGTGAGTACGGCCGGCGCCCCGCGTTCGTTTCTCGAGACGCTGGGGTGCGGGATGGCCCCCCGCGGTGCAGCCGCGGAGTGTCTGGGGCCGGGCCGAGCGGAGCAGCGGCGTTTGGTTTCGTTTCGTCCCGCCGCAGGTACAGGGGAGAGGGGATCCTGCCGGCCAGCCCCCGCCGTGTCTGGGAGTGCATAAAGCCGGTGGCCGGCGGGCCCAGGACCAAGTGGGACCAAAACGTGAAGGACTTCGAGGTCGTCGAAGCTGTCAGTGATGTAAGTCCCTTAAAAACGTTTCTGCTGTGATTAATGCAGCATTGTGTTCAGAAGCACGGCGCTCTGCACGGACCTTTCTGGTGCAGTGCCACATGAAACAGCCTCCGTTATGTGCAGGGAGGTAGAGAGGTCTCAAGAAGTTGTACAGCCTCTCAGTCCGGATCAGTCTGACGATACTGGGATTAGGAACCTGTTTTTTTGTTTTTTTGTTTTTTTTCCCACCCCATAGATTGCATGTATTCTCTTAACAACATCTTATCTTTCCAAAAGAATCTATTAATACAATCTTGACTAAATACTGCATACTTAAAATATGTAAATGTATAGCATTAAAGATTCCTGCGCTATGTTGTTAACGCTGCAAATCAAGCTAAGCATGATTATTTTTGAGGGGAGAGGAGGTTTAGAGAATACGTAGCTAAGCAGTGAAGCGTTCATGTCATCAGCTGTTAATTCAGGCCCCGTCTCTCACCGCGGCAGCACGCGACGCTCTGCGCTGCGCGTGTCACTCTCGGCCTTTAGCTGGCTGGCTGACCTCGGCACCTAGTGCTTGGCCTCCAAGTCCCTATCATTAAAATAGAGATGCTGCACTTCGAGCATTAAAGATGAAAAGGGCTATGTATGAGCAGTAGTTTCTGCTGCTGTAGTTACACAGTCTAATTTCCTTTTTTTTTTGATTGTTTTTAAGTGTGTCAGAACCTTAAAAGGGCATTGGATTTAGATCCTCAAATCTGAAGTGGATGTAGGTGCTTGGAGGCAGCCATGGTGCAAACACAACCAGTCCCAGGAGCATTCGTGGAAGTCCTGGGAAGATTATTTTTCTTGGGGAAACCTTATAGGCATTTAGTATTAATTATAAACTTCAACTTCAGGAACGCTTCAACCTGCCACTTGAAATTAAAAAACTTTGAGGCCTGCCAGCACTTACTGCTGTGCTAGAAACCTCTGTTTTGGGGAGCCTGTCACACCCAGAAGGGGATAGTGGTGTTAAGGTTTCTGCAGTGTAGCAAAACTGGTTATCCCGTGTGATATGATACAAAGATGTTAGCTTCCTGAAAAGGAGAAGCTTTTTAACTGTCCTATGAGCATGGATATCCCAGATTCACTTTTCAGCATCCCTTGTGGTATCTCTCCTTAAACAACCTGGAAGCAATGCATTATCACTCTGCTTCTCTCCAGTAAACTGTCCATCAACACATTGTAGTGCCTTTTGACTGTGCTGATTAGCATTTTGTTCAACAAGGGGTGTAGTAGAACTCCTTGATACAGTTTAGAAAGGCTAACTGAAAGAGCACCAGAAAGTACGGGGGTTTTTCTGGTGTACTTTTGAAAGCATCAACTGACATAACTCTGTTTTGTGATTTCCAGACTGTCTCTGTATGCAGAACCACAACCCCTTCAGCTTTCATGAGGATTATTTCACCAAGAGAATTTGTGGATGTGGTACTAATGAAGCAATATGAAGATGGGACAATGCTATCTGCTGGTAAGATGCTTCTGTTCTCAACATGCTTGTGTTATGTTAGGAGATAACTAGCAGCTACCAGAAATAAATATAAAATAAAAAACAATTAACATGCTGTTTGGTAGTTGTTGATCTGATCTTGATCAGAAGATAAAATGTTAATGGTTTCTCTAACGTTGTTCTCAGAGTATATAAGTCATTTTAACATTCAGATAATGATATTATTGTTGGCCTGTGGTTTCTTCCCTTGCTATGCTTTTGAGATTGAATAAGTATTTAATTTGCTATTAAGCTACAGAGTTTTTGCTATTGCTTTTTTAAGAATTCACATAAATCTCTAAAAGGAGTCCCATTTAGGCTAAATCCATTTTATGCCCTGCCTTTAGATTTTGGTGAAGCCATTGAATAAATGTATCACTCCTGTATGTGGAAATAATTGTTCTTATGAAACCAAATAGTGCTGATTTTTAAGGGGCTACCACTGGGTGGAAGGATGTTTCTTTATATTTTTACTTTCATCCTGTTGTTTAACTCTTAGAAGTCAGTGTTTTTATTGCCCCACTGTTCAGTTGTCCCGTTTTCCCATCCTGGTCAGGAATGCCTTGCCAGGAACTTACATACTTGCTGGAGTGCAGCTTCTCAGCAGTCAAATGGCGTATACTGCTGTGGCATGCATTTGTGGGAAGTCAAGAAAAGCAGTGTCCTCACACAACCTGGATTCCGTGAAACTCCTTCAAATTGTCTTACTTAAAGTAACAATTGCTTCTAAATCTAATAGCTCTTTGATTTCCCCCATTTCATGGCCAGAGTGGTTCCTTTTAATGGTCTTTTCTGACCATTTGTGTGGCATGGCCCCACACTGAAAAGGTTATACTGCTGTTGTTCTTAAATATATTCTCATATATAGTGAGCTTGCTTCCCAGCTGGTGCTTTGAGTACCAAGGACTCTTTCTGATCTTCTGTGAAAATTACACTTTTATTGAATGTTTTTTTTCTTACAGCCACCCATGTGGAACACCCACAGTGTCCTCCTCAACCAAATTTCGTGAGAGGTTTTAATTATCCCTGTGGCTGTTTCTGTATACCTCTTGCAGGGTAAGAAATGATCTATTTGAACACTATGTATTCTAAAGCCCTTCTTATCCATTGTGTGATGTGTTTATGTGTACATGGCCAGATGTGACCTCTAGCCTCTTGTCGATGGCATGTTTTTCTCTTCCTTTGACTGATCATCATTATGACTGAATGCCCTTTTTGTTCTCGTTTTGGTGCAATGAATTAGCCTCTCTTCATTTCCTAGAGGAAAGTCTTTAATGTTACAGGAACCATCATCATGGTAGGATTCCTGCTGACCTCTTAAGCAGAGATTCAGCAGAACATGCAAGTATGGTCTTAATTTTTGGTAAATGACTATCCGGTTGTTTATTACATTGCCATAATTCATAATCAGAATCATGTACCTAATTAGGGCCTAGTTTAACTGTAATTTGCCCTGTGGGGATAGCCACATTGAAATTTGGAACGAATGTCTGCTTTTTTGTTTAAAAAAAAAATGGTATTTAGAAGTATCTATCATCAAGAAATACATACAAGAGTCATTGTAAAGTTCTTAATGCTTTTAAACCCCTGGCTATAAAATCACTTGCGTTGTCTTTGCAGGGAGCCAGACAGGACCCAACTCCTCACTTTCTTTCAGACTGATCTTGGTGGCTATCTTCCCCAGACGGTGGTGGATTCCTTCTTTCCAGCTAGCATAGCTGGATTTTACAGTAACCTGACCAAAGCAGTTAAGGCACTAAAAGCCTGACAAGACCGATTGCTGACATCACCAGCTGAGAGTAGGAAAACCTGGCAGCTTGAGGGTAGAAATAGGAAGTTGGCCTACCAGCAAAGATACTTAGGAGCTGTGAAAGGGGAACAATGAATTGAGTAAAGTAAATTTTTAAAACAGCATTTTCTACCCATCTCTACGCAAAGCAATGCATTCTTCTCTAATACAGTATCCTTCTTTTTCATAATTATAAAAACCAGAGGCTGGAAGAATCTTGGAGGCAGCACTGGTGGCTGCCTGTGGAGAGAAGATGCACATACTGGATCTGCTCTTGGCCACACTTTGTCAGTGTCTGTGAGGAGGAGCATTGCTAAAATCCACTTAGCACTACAGTGTTAGCCCAGTTCAGGTCAGCCCTGTTTTGTCTCTGAAGCTCCCTGTAAACTCCTGCGGAACGATGTTCCCTCCCCAAAAGAAGAGATGGCTCTTCTGCTGCCAGCACTCGTACAGCTGCTGAGGTGCGTCAGTGGGTCCAAGCCAGCAAATGGTAAAAGCCAGAACAAATTGGATTGTGTGGAAGATCCTACTTGTTTGTTCCACCAGACTTCAGTAGTAGTGGTAAATATGCCTTAAGTGCTTTTTTCTAAATCAAAGCCTAGCAGTGCAAATCAATCCCTAGATCTCTAGGTTGGCAAATAGGAACTCCTTCTTTCTCCCCTCTGTACCAAAACCAGCAATTTCCGTGATGTCATGAAACAAACTGCACTGACATAGTGGCAATAAATAAAGAGGATTAAGCACTTACTTGCCATTTTTTAAACTGCACTTTCAATGACCATTTTTAACTTCACTTGAACGTTTTTTGAGCTCTTGTGGTGAGAGTTTTTAACGGGTAAATAATCTTTTCTGTAGCTTTGTCTTGACTGGACAGGCCATAAGGACATGGCTTTTTTTCTAAGACTGGTTTCCTTCACAGCACTGTCTTGTGAAATCAGCCTCTGATCTTTTGTGCAGTGATGTGTCTAGCTTTAGAAAATATTTATGGTGCTGGTTACTGCAGGAATGTCAGACATCACTGTGGATTACATATACTTACAAAAGGAAAGCTCATTGCTGAATTAGGAATTTAAATGCAGATTGTGATTTTAATGTTGTAACTCAATTATTTAACAAGGTTAATATGCTCTGCTTCTGTCCCTGTATTTGTTTTATATTTAGTATAGGGCATGGACTTGCACACAAAGTTTCCCACTGTAAATCTCACCCTACAGAGTTGACTTTTTTCAAGATGACAATTTTTAATCTAGTCTCCTTTGTGTACAAAGATGTAAAAGCTTGTATGAGTGTGATGAAATAAATATTTTTCTTCTACATCTTGATATTTTTCCTGGATCATCCTTTAAAATGTTTCTTCATGTACCTGCTTTGCCATCAAGGAAGCATAAGAGCCACTTAGACCTCCAGCATCTCTGAATTCAGGGCAACAAGAGAGGGAAGAGCCTTCACTCCCATTTACACTCCCCGCTAACTGAGGATATAGGTGTTTTGGTGAGAACACTCACCTTCTCAGCTGCTTTGCCCTTTGTTGGTCCTTATTTCCAGTTCCTGCTTTCTGTACTTAGTAACAAATGCACTGAGGAGAGATTTGGACCCTGATATTACAGAAGGTCACACATATTTATCTAAATGTACTGAAGTTGTTAGTCATGCAGTGCAGTATCTCAGCAAGTCTTTGCAGTATTATGATTAATTTAATTAGCAAAAATTTCAGGGAGCAGAACTCAGGTCACCACTCATTATTACTGCAAGTAGACCTTCTGCAAACAATAGGGCTTTTTATAAGCTATTATATCTTTAATACTTTTTTTATTGCTCTGAGCGATAAAAGTGGTAGGTGAGGCTCTTCCTTGGAATAATCTAAGGATTTGTTTTCTGAGTGCTTAACACCTTCTATACAGAAGGAATTAAGAGCCCTTAATGTTCAGCCTTCTGCCCTGCCAAATTGGAGATGGAAATGTCGTGTCAAAGATCATCTTATAAGGTCTTGGAGAACTCCCTAGTGAGACACGTTGCCTGTCACACAGCATGGTTTGACTTCTTTTGATCTTGGCAGATGCCAGGAAATGTGGAGGCATGCAATAACTGAAAACCTTTGAAGTGAAGTGAGAAGAGCACTTCTGGTAAAAAGCAAGATCAAACCTGTCTTGGTGGTTCTATGTCATTAAATTGATGAAATTAAATAGCTGTTTCAGGTGAGGACACCTTCAGTAGATGACATTGAAGTAATTAAGTCATTCTGTGCCATGGCTGTAGCTAGTCCAGTGTCTGTTGCTAAAGACCAAAATGTGTGATCTGTCTTTTACAGGAAATAGCTTTAACAGTGCTAAAAAGCTCAGTCCTGCTTTTCTGTACAGAAATTAATGTTTTTCCTATATTGGTGGTATGGGCAAATAGTTGAAAAATCTTAGGATCTTTTATATGCACCAGGCCTTTACTTAGACTTTGTTAAGCCTAAGCCAATAATGCAAATTAAGTTAAATACAGGAAATTTTACCAAAAAAAAAAAAAAATGCAGATTTTCATGTAGATACCAGTTAAAAAAATGTATGAAAAGATTCCCTCTCACATTTTTCTATTTTAATTGCTACCCAATTCGTAGAAAATTTGTTTTGAGGATTGGTTGGTTGGTTGGTTTTTGGATAATACAACTCAATTGGGAAGGGGTTTGGAAAGGTGGGGGCAGATGGCTTGTCAAGAATCTTCTTTCAAGGATTAACCTAGAGTTGACTTTTGAGGAAGGGCCGAAGAAAATTATGTGCCTGATTCAATTAATACCTTTTGCTGTCTCTCCTACATCCCTTTCTCTTAATTGCTGTTTCTGTGACATTATGCTAAATGCATGGAAAATAGCTTGTGAACTCCTGAGGTCTATGGCTTGGTGAAATCAAGTAACCTACAAAGGGTGCAGCAAGTTCCCAACTATGGGAAGGTGAGCAACCAAGGACAATAACCTGTACAGCCACCTGGCTATCAACTGGCAAGTCAGTACTTCCATCCTGACATTGCATCTCTCCCTTTAGTGAAGTAGGACAGAGAAGACCAAATGGGTGCACCAGACCATCTTGCCATCGATACACATGCTGCTGCTGGTAGAATTCCATACCGTGCTTAGCACTGCCAAAATGCTGACAGCAGCGTTTGAAGCATAGATTTGTCTCCAAGTTATTTAGTGTTTCCAGGATAAACATTTGGTTTCGGAACTTCTAATTCCCGAATACACCCACTGATACTTGTGAAAACAACAGAAGGACGTTTCAAAAAATATGTGTGGTTAGAAGGTAAGACTTGGTTCTAAGTGGCTTTGTTACTTTCCTGCTGTAGTCCTCTGAGACCTGGCCAGAGGAAGGTTAAGAATCTGCTGCTCTGTTACCCTCAGCTTCCTGCCTCGCCCATGCAGTACTGTGAGACATTCCTTTTCCCCCCACCCTGTGTTTGCCTGCTGGAGTTGAGATGGCTCTGTCAACTGCTAGTAGAAAGTTACCTTGACAGGTTTTGGCTGTCCTGGAGGTTCTGTGGTTTGAATAGAAAAGCTGGAGTTTTCCAGAACACATTGTCATTTCGACACACAAAATTGCACCCCCCTTCCTCTGCCCTTTACATATTCTCTAAGGCTTTACACATTCTCTAAGGTGGTGTTTAGCTGTAGGCTTGTAGACACATTTCTTCCTCCTGAGAAGGTAAGGCAGTGAGCAAGACTTGTAAAGTAAAACTGAAAACTTAGCACAGAATGTGCTTCTGATATTTGCGAAGTTAATGGCTTAAAATAGGTAAGTATTATAGCTGTTACATACTTTATTACAACCAGTATATTATTAATAAAGTCATTGTTTTATAATTCTACACTTTTAACATTGGTTTCTGACTGTTGAAATAATAATCATGCACATTTTGTGCACATCTTATTTTATCCCAGCTTGCTGGCAGTAAGATCATGTGTACTTCTCATATGCACTGAGTATCTTTCTGTGCTAGCCAAATAGCTGCAAGTAATAAAATCCTTTTTTGTTTGTAATATTGGCAGTAGTCTAATTCCTCCTCTTACAAAGTTTCAGATGACTTGATGGTAACAGAGTTCAGATTCTTCCTCTTGATGATAGCTGTGATGGGCCCATCAGGTAATGCCTTGATTATATTCCATGCTTCAAAACGAGTGAGTCCGTGCATGGCAGTCATGTGCACTTGTAGTAGTTCATCACCAGGCTGAACAAGGCTTCTTTGTTCTAATGCAGTCCCTGGAGAAAGGAAATTAATTTCCTTTAATTCTTTGCGAGGAGGAGGCTTTACGTATCTTTCACTTATTAAGGATCACCAGCATGTTTGGTATAAACCACCTGGTCTCATCAGGCAACAAGTTACTGGCACTGCACAAGATAATGCTGCATTTACAAAAAAAATACCATTTTCATGGGTATAAATCAGACAGTTATGACCTGCACAAGTTTGCATCAGCTAAGAATCTGCCCTGTATGTATTTAAGTGTGTTTACCTTTAAATATCCTGTTGATAATGATGGGTTTATCTCCATGAATAGAGCCCTTCCCTCCTTCCAGACTGAATCCTAAACCAGCAGGTGTTTTTTCTAGAGTTACAGTGCAGATTGTACCTTCATTTGCTGGAAACAAATGGAAAATTAGTAGATGGGCACCATGTAGTCTGAAAAGCTAAAACATCTGTTACAAAAAACGAACTTCTGCCTTGTTTGCAAAGGCACCATAAACTGCCAAATGAAAGATAAAACTATAATTTTTAATTCCTCTTTCTGTCATTGTAAGGCCCTCTGGGAAGCTGGGGAGAGAAAATTGTGTTTGAGTTAATGGCAGAATGGAAATATAAAGATGAAAGCTGGTAACATTTACTAGAATTAGGAAAATCTGTTTGATGAACAAAATTTAAGGTAAACATATTTGACTTGATGTTAGTTATAAAATTGTTATCAAACACAAAGCTGCTAATGTTCATTCATGGTATGCAAATAAAACTACAGATCTCCAGATCATGTTTTAGAAAAAAAAGAAAAAAAACACACCAAAAATATCTTAAGAATATCTTAAGGTTCTGCAAAAATCTGACCTTGCTGTGTTTCAGATGTAGGCACTTGCTATATCAAACAATAGCACATTGTTTGTTCAAACTGAAATTCTCTTTCACAGAGAAGAAGTCTTATAAACTAGAAACTAATATTATTAGAATATAGAATCACTGTTCACTGAGTTGTCATTATAACTTCAACTAGATGTGTTACTACAATGATAATCTTTGTGTGTCTACAGAAATCCATACGGAGTATCACATTTGTTTTGTTTCTGAGGGTTCCTTTATTTTAGAAATCCATTAGTTCCTTCCCTTTCCAAGCAAGTTATTCCAAATATCTGTTTCAGGAATATTTTATTAACCATGCAGTCTTAATCATGGTTCTCAGATTTACACAGCCAATGCTGAGCTGCTTTATTAACACACAGATTTCTAGTGACGAGTAAACACTTAGCACGTGGGGGCTGCAAGGTAATGCCACTGAACTTACTCACCAGACTCTTGTGAAGAATCACTTGCTACTGAAGACGTACTAGAGTTGATTGAAACATCAAGATTTTTTTCTCCATCTTTAGCTTTTCTAGTGACAACAACAGCTTGTCTGGGTTGTCGAGCCTGTCGCATGATTGCTGAGGCATCGTTGTGAGTCGCACCTTTAAGAGACTTTCCATTAATGGATAGTACTTCATCTCCTTTCTGAATAGTTCCTTCCTGAGATGCTAGTCCATTGGGAAACACTTTGTGAACCTATTGAAGAGTCCAGTCACCACACACACACACAAGGAAAGAGGAAAAAAAAAACAACAAAGCACTAAATCACTCAGTTAATACTTTTCACCATGTGCATTTTCCGTTCTTTGCCAGGAACAAATTGCTTCTAGCACGTTTCAGAACTGAGGGCTGAATACATTCGTACAGATACATTCTCTTGTGTGTAGCCCTCCTCGAGCAACTAGGCAATCTGTTCAGCCCTGGTACCAGATGGCCAAAGCCTTGCTGCCCATGGTACGCACCTTGCCTATGCTGCTTCCTGACCCCCTTGCTGCTCTGCTACTGCGATGAAGGCAGCGTGAAGCTAGTCACTAGCTTCCAGCCCCCTTACATGTCTACATGCTCACGTCATTCCTCCTGACCACCCTTCCTGGTCTTCTAAAAGTATGTGAATAAGGTGTTGGTTACATCCTCCTGAGGACTGTGTGTTGTTCTGCCTTGGCTTTCAGAGCTGTTGGGAAGCGTGGTGCCCAAGCAAGCGGGACACCACTGCCAATCACCTGGAGAGG